GGTGATCTGTTATATTACTGTCTTCAATGACTAAGCCACTGAAATTATGACTTTGTGATTGTGTGACCGAGTTGAGCACCCTAAATGATGAACTCTATAATTGTGAGACCATGCATTTTGATTGGTAGAAAATTGACTGGATTATGTCACTATAGTGGGCTAGACTCATAAACCTATGTTTTGTGATTAATTTGGAACTTTTGCGTAACAGACCCTATCTTATGTACAACCGATGAACTTTGTTTAATGTGTTACTGTGCACCATGGGCTTGCATATAAGACTTATTTGGGAACTGCTGTATTGGTTATGATACATACCTCCTGATATGAATAATTGCACGCATATGCAACTACACCTGAACTTATGTAGACAATGCCATATTGTACATGACTTGAAATATTTTGATATGAACTGTTGTGATGAATGACTCCGATATGACTTTGAGAACTGATGAACTTAGGAGAGTTGTGAAACTATCAACCTTGTATCTAAGCAAACGAAGTATGCCTTACAGAACCGAATGTACCCTATTTGAGAAAATTTTTATCTGATTCGATCAGATATAACCTTTGTCTGATATTGCCTTGATAGAACCCTCATTGGATATAATTTGATGGGACCTTTGTTTGATTTAATTTGACAAGACCTTTGCCTAGATCGATTTGGTAAGACCCTTTATCTAATTTGATTTTGTAGAGGGGGATTAAGGATTGCTTATAAATAAATAACCAGATTATTCTTGGTAGAAAAACTGATAGACCCAAAATTTGAATCCGTTTGGAATACTTGACTTATCTGAAAGACCTTTTGTGGGCTATCAACAGATTGATCTAACCATGAACACCATTGAAAACCAACCTTCAACTATTGAGGACATATGTGTTATAAATGAACCGAATTGTGCAAATCCAGTGATCGGGTGTCTTAAGGAACAATGCTGGTGTGTTGTCATATTCTTGCTTATTTGACGCTATGGAAACCAATGACAACAGATTGACTTGATTGTGGACCGTACTGAATATTTATCCTCAATTAATCAGAATATGTTTCATGTGTTTGTTCGGTGTTATCGGATTTTGGGAAATCAGGTTATAGTTAGTGGTATTATGTTTGTTTTGTCTGGAATGTCATCCTTTGATATTATGTAGATGTTATTAACATCTAAGAAACTTTTAAAAACCTTGATTGTCCGAAAGTGTGTGAATTCAATACGCCTTGTGTAAATAACTGCTCAGTGCCATTATATTCTGCAATTGGGGCTCTGAGGATTTGTAAATTGTGTTTAACATGTGCTTGACTGTTTTGATATTATCTTTGACGTCATGGGGATTAATATACGAATTGCCTTCTGCTTTTGGCGACTATGAGATAGTGTGGAAAGACTCAATGGAACAGGGAATTGAATGTTGAACTGAATTGTAAACTTTAAACTGTTAAATGAATTGAGAACACGTGTATTCTGTTAGAAGTCGACTGCCTCAATGTTATTGTACTTTACAATTGGTTCTATGGGGATATATGAGCTACATATGTCATGTGGTTGATTACTTCGTTGTTATCTTTGTTGACTCAGGAATCAGTGTCTGGATCCACTTTAAATTCCTGTAGACTTTTGATTGACCTTGGACAACTGTGATGAGTCACTGAACTAAATACCGAATCGGATTGTGAATTGCAGAGTTATTGAAGAATGAATTGAACTTTTGTGACAAGGGAATAGACTGAACTTCTATGGTAAAGTTAGCTGACATCTTAAATAAATATGTTGGTGACCTACCATGAAGAGGGCCATCGGGTGAAATTGTGTCTAAATATTTTTCTATGCCAATAGGTCGAAGTCGAATATCAGGTAGTGGCAGAACTACTTCAACCTCTCACTATTTCGGAATGAAAATAGGGATATGTGACTACGAATTCCATTGTGGGGCTACCTTGAGCACCTAAGGTATAAGTCCCCTTTGGGTTAGTGTACGTAGAATTACTAAGTTTGTTCATTTCCTCCATGTAAAATTTTCGAATGATCTTTGTAGAATAGCCACTGTTTACATCAATAAGATTGCTCGTTTGCATGGGGTCCCAGTATCTATTGTTTTAGGTAGGAATCCTTAAATGCGTTTGAATTTTGACAAGCCTTCAAGAGGCGATGGGAACTAAATTGTGAGTCAGCGCTATTTTCCATCCGCTAATTGATGTATAATCAGAAAGAACTTTTTAGATTTTGGGAGGAATGCTCTAAATATATGCATTAGATTTTTCAGGGAAGTTGGAAAGATCTATCCATCACTGGCAGACTTTGCTTACGGTAATGACTTACACTCTAATTCAGTACGACACCATACAAGCCTTGTATGGAGGAAAAGGTAAGTCTCTGACTGATTGAGAACAAAATGTTGCTTGATTTTGAGACTAAGTAAATGGCTATCAAAAAGAATTGGAACCGTTGAATGAAAAGTGTCCCAATTGTGTTCGACTAAAGGTGAAATAAGTTTGGAGGACCAAACTTCCTAAAAGGGAGAAGACTGTGATAACCCTGTTCCGTATTGTACTAATTGATCCTCCTTATGCATGTGATTATGTGTTTGATATGATTTTGAGTGTCATTTATATAAATATATGTGGTTTTGAATTTATATTTGTTCACCGTATGAATATCTGTTTGATTATCTGCTTTGAAGTTTAAATTGAAGGCCTTATCGGCCACAGAACTCGAAATTGATTACGCCATTGTGACTGGCATAATTTTTAGAGCATACGGTGAAATTTAATTGAAAATTGATTCGGGTCAGATTAAATTGATTAAATTAAGGAGTTAGTGCTCAAAGTATTTAATCTTAAAATAATGTGACTAAGTAAGCTTCTTATTAAGGCCATTACACACTTAATTCTTCTTTTTGTATTCATTTGGCCGAAAATCAACTCTCTAGAGAGAGAGAGACCCGAAATTAGAGGGAGAAAGGGGAGATAATTTAAGTTTGGTCTTGAAGCTTGATAATTTTGAAGCTACACTCAAGAATTTGCTATTGATTGGAAAAATTGAGCCTCTAGGGTCAAGCTCCAGGGCAAATCAACCAACTGATCACTGTGAGTAGTATCTTAATAAAGATATCTGAAGTATGTTATTTGTCCAATTGCTTACTTTCATAAAAGTCCTGTAAGTTTGTCACATTGAATTGGGGACAAATATTTGTTATGCCATGTGATTGAGCCAAAGGCCGTTGGATATTTGCTATGCCATGTGATTGGACCAAAGGCCGTCTGACATGAATGATAGTCTGATATGAATGATAGCCTGACACGAATGATAGTCTGACACGAATGATAGTCTAATAAGAATGATAGTCTGACATGAATGAAAAGAGATCATGATCACGAATATGAATTGTGCATAGATCCGGATAAATGGGCTAGAGGCCAGTTTGAATGAAAAGAGATCATGATCACAAATATGAATTGTGCATAGATCCGGATAAATGGGCCAAGGGCCAGTTTGAATGAAAAGAGATCATGATCATGAATATGAAATGCGCATAGATATGAACGAAAGTATGAATGGGCCAAAAGCCAGTCTGACATGAACAAAAGAATGAATGAGCCAGAGGCCAGTTTGACATGAATGATAGAATGAATGGGCCAAAGGCTAGTTTGACATGAACGAGAGAATGAATGGACTAGAGGACAGTCTGACCCGAAAGATAGAATAAATGGGCCAGAGGCCAGTTTGGCATGAATGATATGAATGAATGGGCCGGAGGCCGTATGACACGAATGAATTGGGCCCGAGGTCATATGATGTGTTTGGAACCGCAGTCACTTGACCTATGTACATATATATGTACTAGATAGAAATATGAATTGGGCCTAAGGCCGTCTGATGTATATTGTTCCAATGTATCTTCTTTATTTGATATTATTCACTAGGCTTTCGCTCATGCTCATTCGTGTGTTTGTAGGTGAGCCAAGAGAGGTCCAACCCCAGCCTCAGTGAAGTCTGTGTGGAACAACCAAGGTTTTGGAGAGTCAGCCCTTACGTCTCATGCACGAGACACATCATCACCCTTTTGCATCTTATGCTATTTTGTCATGTTGGTGAGGACTTTGGTTTTTGTTCACATATAGTATTTTGATTGGCTGACCTAGACTTGAATGATCTTGTCTGTACAGAACTTTATGTTACTGTAATATCTGAAGTGAGTTATTAACATGCATATGTATGGTTTGTTATTAACATGCATATGTATGGTTTGTTATTAACATGCATATGAGGTGAGGACTTTATGTTACTCTATGGACAAAGTTTTAAATTTGCTTCTGTTTGGCCCCTTTACTCTAATGAGTTTTATTTTATTTGGTTTGAGGTCGTAGGTAATCTCATGATTACTGGCCGGTTATAGCCTTAACCCATAGGGGCGTGTTCGGGTCGTGACACGGTGTGCAATAAGCTGGGTAAATACAGCATCCGTCAGGCTTCTGAGACCAGCGTATGTCAGCCATGTATACATTGTCGCACTAAACGTCTTGACCCCCAGTGCTATCTGGAGATTGTAGTTGAAGAGGCATTCTATCTTGAAGGTCCCCTGGTTCCCTAGCATGGACATGTCTACGGCTCTGAGCCACATCGGGTTCTTCAAGGTGTCGTAAAAGACGCCTGATAACGTCCTCTCTCTCCAATAGATGTGGTTCAATATATCCGTTTGTGTGGAATATCAACCATCCGCATTGGAAGGGGAATACCTTTCTGCGTTGGGCCTTCTTCTTCTCATTGCGATGCCTCTTCTTGATCGACTCTGGCGAATAGGGGCTGGTTGATTGTGTAGAACTCTGCGCTTCTGATAGTCCACGCTTTGATCCCGGCATGTTCATTTTTGTCTAAATATTCTTTGTAACTGGAATCGGCTCCTGGGTTACATAATATAATGGCTGGAATCCCGCCCTTTATTTTCTTTAGGCGGGCATATTTACAATTCGAAATGAAATCCCGTTGCGCTCCAATAAATTCCCGCTAGTGTTTTAAATATTGTGGGGCCACATCATCGATTATATTATATAAAGCATCGTCATTGTGGTCCCGCAAATCGATGTGGCTGGAATAATAATTATGTGGCCCCAATGAATGGGTCCAGCATGTTTTCCCAATCCTAGATGGGCCTTCAATTAGAATGCTTTTGGGCCTGTGTGGTCTTTGGGCCCCATCCTTAATATTCTCTGCAACCCATTGCTGTATATCTGCCGGGATGACCCATACCGTTTCTGCAAATTGATGAACGTACGGCAATGGTGGAATAAATGAAATCCTGTCATAATTAGAGGACAATTTGTCATAATTTAACCAATAGCATTTTGGGTCGGCATTTCTCACCATTGCTAGCGCTTGCTCCTTGTTGTCTCCTGCAAGCGCCTCACGGTATATATTTTCTTTGTTATGTTGGTTAGCGTAGCGGCCCCGTTCACGGAATTCACCCCATTCAGTGTAGTCACCGTGTTTAGAGATGTATTCCAAAACATTTTCATGATTTGTTGTCCCTTGCATATTTGGATAGAAATGCTGATTACTGTTGTCATGGGTAACGTCGAAGAACCGTTCATCTTG